ATGAATTTTGGTGTTTTAGGCCATTTTAGCGCCAATTTTTGTAGTACCTTGGCCTTTTGGTTTCGTTTTAATGCAATAGACAAGTTTTATTTCAAAAAGTGATGCTTCAAAATAGACAGGTCGTTGGTATAGCTTTACCTTCGAGAGTCTCAAGTTTATAAGATACGCTGTTTAAATTTGTTGTTGCCCGAAAGGGTCCCTCCCAGTTGCCAGCAAGCTTTCCTTCTCGCCATTCACGACACGCTTTAACGATTGTCTTCCATACTAGATCTCCAATCTAAAACTGTCTCAGTTTGAGCTTCGAATTATACTTCTGTGATATCACTCTTCTACTTGCTTCGATCATGATAATAGCCTGGTCTCGAATTTCGTCTATAACATCCAAGTTAGTGGTCAAATAAATAGAATTCGCTTCTTCTTCGAAGTTTTGTTACCAAAATGAAGGTTTACCAATCTCAACTGGATCATGGCGTTGGTTCCTTAAGTTAAGCAAAAAGGTGTTTCTTTTGTAGTGGTTTGTGGAGTGCACCAATATGCCCAGAGGAATAACCTTTATTTACTGCTTCGGCCTAGCCATTGCTCTGAGGATGCTCCATCGAAGTGACCCAGTGTTTTATTTTAAGGCCTTCTAGAAACTCATTGAAGTGCCGATCTATGAATTGGAGGTCGTTATCAGTGACTAAGGCATTTGGTATACCGAAACGTGTAATGATGTTCTTTCAAGTAAACTTTTGAACATTGTTGGTCGTGATAGTCGCGAGGGGTTCAACTTCAATCCACTTGGTAAAATAGTCACCAACGATGAGAGGGAACTTGCATTGTCATTTGGCCAAAGGAACTGGCAATAGCAAGTCCATGCCCCATATGGCAAAAGGCCAAGGGGAGTAGACAGTATGAAGGTTCTCGGCGTTTTGATGTATGAGCGGCCCATGCCGCTGACATGGGATACACTTTTTGACGAATAGCTCAAAATCCTTCGTTAAGGTCAGCCAGTAATATCCAACTCTTAATATTTTTACTACTATGGTCCTCCTTCCCGAGTGGGTTCTGCAAATGCCTTTATGAATTTCCCGTATTATATAATTGACTTGTTCTTCATCAAGACACTTTAGCAACATAATTGATATCCTCTTTTGTATAGTTCTCCGCGGAGGAAGCTTGTCAGTGCTGAGATATTGGATAATATCTGTCATCCAATTCTGAGATTTATCTTTGACTTTCGTACACTCATGTCCTGAAATACTAAGTTTATCAAGCTCTTGTTGGATCATACTTTGAAGTTGGCCTAGCTTTCTACGACTAGCCAATTTTGTGAGTCTATCGGCATGTTCATTAAGATTTCTTGGTGTATGACGAACATGTGCCTTGTCAAATTTAGATTGCATCCGTTTGAATTCTTGGTAATATTCCAGCATAATAGGGTCTTTTACCTGATAGGTGCCATTAATCTGTTCAACTACAACTTGGGAATCGCTTTAACATGTGATCTTTTGGACTTCGATATCTTTTGCTAATCTGAGGCCAGTGAGCAGTGCCTTGTATTCAGACTGATTGTTAGATGCCTTGAAACTAAACCATATTGATTGCTCTAATACCACCCTGTTCGGTCCCTCTAGGATTACACCTGCTCCGCTGTGGTGTTGATTTGAAGATTCGTCAACATGTAAGTTCCACATGTTGGTAGTAGACGTCTTTTAAGGATGAAATTCATTAATGAATTTTGCAAGGACTTGTGCTTTGAAGGGTCCTCGTGTCTCAAAATGGATATCATATTGTGACAGCTCAACTGGCCATGACATCATCTGGCCGACTAACTCTGGTTTGCCTAACACTTTGGCTATCAGACAATCAGTACGTACGACGATTTAGTGGCATTGAAAATAATGTCTTAGCCTTCTTGCCATGCGAACTAGTGTCAAAATTGCTTTTTTCATTAATTGGTATCGGGACTTAGGGTCATGCAGTGTTCGGGTAATAAAGTATACTAGCATCTGTTCAGGGTCTTCTTGTAATAAAATCGAGCTGATGGCCTTGTCTGATACTGCCAAATAAACGATCATGTCCTTGCCGAGATTTGGTTTGGTTAGGATTAGAGGGGTTATTAGAGTGGTTTTAAATTATTTCAAAGCTATTTCGCACTCTTCGGACAAAACAAATTTTTGTGCCTTCTTAAGGAGATCCGTGAATGGTTATGACTTTTCTGCCATCTTAGGAAGGAACCGAGATAGCGCAGCTATTCGGCCAGTCAATCGTTGTACGTCTTTAACTGTATGAAGACTGTGCATATCGATAACAACTTGACACTTGTCCAAGTTTGCTTGAATCCCTTTTCTGGATAACATAAAGCCTAAGAACTTTCCTCTAGAAACCCTGAACGTGCACTTTTTGGGGTTAAATCGCATCCCATGTCGTCATGCTTCATCAAAGATTTCAGTTAGGTGAGTTATGTGATCGACTATAGTGGCTAATTTGACTACCTTGTCATCTATGTATACTTCCATACATCTTCGTAACTGTTTGGCGAATATCTTATCCATTAACCTTTGATAGGTAGCACCTGCATTTTTCAAACCAAAAGGCATAACTTTATAACAGAAATTTGCCGAGTCGATAATAAAGGCTGTTTTGTCTTTATCAGGGGGATACATCTGAATCTGGTTATATCCTGAGTATGCATCCAGGAAACTAAGTATTTTGTGACTGGCCACTTCGTTAACAAGAGCGTCTATGTTGGGTAGGGGGTATGCTTTTTTTGGAAACGCGTTGTTTAGGTCCGTGAAGTGGGTATACATCCTCCACTTCCCATTTGGTTTTTTCACCATCACCATATTGGCCAACTATATTTAATATTGGACCTCTCAGATAAAGCCTGCTTATAGCAGCTTATCGGTTTCCTCCCAAACTATATGGGCTCATTCACCTCCCATTTTTCTCTTTTTTTGAGCGACTAGCTTCGATATTTTGTATACAGACAATCAATGGCATAAGAACCTGGGATCTATCCTAGGCATGTCTGCTGCTGTCCACGCAAATTGTTCAGCATGATCGAGTAGTACTCCATAGATCTTTTACCGTTCGGTCTATCATAATTCAGTTCCTAAGTATATAACTTGTTCAACCATTCTTCCCAACTAAAAGGATGTCTTTTCCTCGTTAGGTTCCACCCGAAACTCTTTGTTTATTCTTGGATCAAGCTCGATGTGCGAGAGGTTTACTTCTAACTGAGGGATACTATATTGACATCCCTGTTCGAATTAGGTAATGGTTTTAAATGTAGGCTTGCAAAATAACATTTCTTAGTGAGACTATTGGTGTGTAAAAATTGATTACTAGGCAAGTGTACCCGTTGTCAAAGTAATATTATGAAGAATAGAGTACCAAGTGTCATATCCACAAGGATTGTTATTAAGAATTACTTCTTTAATTGCAAAATTGTTAATGAATATGAAAAAATAAATTTTGTTGATAAAATTGCTAAAAATAAAAGAATAATAAATTGAAAGGAACAAATTTCTTATAATAATAAATTATAGAAAAGTATGACTAAAGGTATTCAAGGGAAATAGACAAGTATCTAGACTGTAAATCCTCCTAAGTGTCCAAATAACTGAAATTCTTCTTCAATTACTTAGTTCCAAACCCTTATCGCTGCAGAAAATTTTGAATTAAATCAATACCTTTCTCAAGGATAATGATTTCTAACCCTCGGTTGATCATTCGGAATCTCTTTCTTAACTAATACCCCTAGGTTGCATTAAGTTCATTATGAATTCCATAATTAGGGTTAATTCTAATACAGAAAACTTACGTCTTTCTATCTCTAGAAATACATTCAAGTCTTTTTAATTGAGCAATGTTAATTTCAAGTAGGAATTTTACTCAAATTCAAACAAGAAAACAAGATGGAAGAAAATTGATAATACTCAATTAAACCCAAAAGAAAAGAACATGAAATAGCATTAGAAGAATTCCAGAAAATTTGGTCAATTAGGATTCATTACGTCTAGATACTCAAAGGAAAATTAGAACCTAAACATCTTCAAACTAAAATTACAAAAGAGATGAAATAAAATGCTTGATCCCATCCTCCAGCCATCTCTGAGTCTTTCTTCCCTTCAAAATTGTCTCGTTTCTGTGTCAAGTTCCCTTTTATATGATGGCCCAAGGGCTCATCTTCTCGCAGAAATTTAAATTGTGACGCACATTAAAAGTACACGCCCAAGTACACGGCCATGTACTTTGGCCGTGTACATCTCTGGTTTCTAAAAGACGCCTTTCAAAGCTTTTCATAAAAGTACACGCTCATGTGCACGGCCATATACTTTGGCCGTGTACATCTCTGGTCTCTAATAATTGCACTTCACAGCTTTCTTGAAAAGTACACGCCCATGTACTTTGGCCGTGTACATCTCTGGTTTTGATGATACACTTCAATTGACACGACCAGTGAGATACATGCTCATATACACGGGCGTGTACTTGCCCATGTATATCTCTGGTTCTTTGTGTGTTTCAATTCTCAATATCTTTTAAGCTCTTTTTTTTTTTCTGAAATATGAATAAAATGAAATTAATAATACTAAATTTTCTCAATGAATAGCTTAAAACTCTCAATTATCATCATGAATTACAATGTAGGATCAAGTATAGAAAGCATTTATCAAATTCCCCCGAACTTGAACGATTGCTTGTCCCCAAGCAAAGAAATGGATCAATTTTACCCTTGACAACAAAGAATCAAATTCCTGAATTTTTATTATTGTTATTTTTATTTTATTTTTTTCTCAAATTTTTAGAGGGACAGTAATTCTTAAACATCAAATTGTGCCTTCTTTTGCTCTCAACCTTTGTAACTTCAGACAGAACTGAATAAGGACCTCTCTACCATTAGCTCTTAAAAAATCAACTCAAAACATTGAATTCTTCCACAAGGTGTTATTTAGTTTTCTTCACTTTGAGCCATGATCGACTAATAGGGTGCATTTTATGCTCTGTCCCAATTAGCACAAGGTATTAATAGAAATTCCATCCCTTACTTTCCACATCGGTACCTCAAACAACTTCAGGGTTCTAGGATGTGGTATCCGAACATTGCCTGCAATCCACATTCAACTAGATATGCTTCTATGACATGCTTTTTTATTTCTGAGCAGAGCCCCAATTTTTTTAGATATTAATTATTCTATTAATTGCATAAAATTGTTTAAACATCTGGCATAGATTCAAGGTCCTCAATTCAGAAAAGTCTACTGATACTTCAATCGAGAAACAATTAAAAACACAATTCGAATAACCAGAATAATTGCGTGTGATGTTTATTTATTTATTATATTTTCAAGAATATCATCTCTAATGCAACAGTAAAATTGACTCAATATTGCTTGAGAATAAAACAACAATTCAATTCAAGCATCTATAATTATCCACCCCACATTGTAAGATTTGCATTGTCCTCAATCAAATATAAGAATTAAAGTGCAACTAAAACTTCCCTGAAAAGTAAATAAATAAGCAGAGAGTCGTGGGAAGCAAAGCTAATCTGAGATTCAATTGGAGAGGAAACCTGATTAAAATTGATTTATAAGGAGATTTAACTCAGTTCAGAATGACAAGAGGGGTATAACGATCAAAATAATGCAATAAAGAAACAAAAGCAATAAACAGACAAAAGCAATTTAAATCCTAAAAATAACATAAGTAAAAAATTCAACAACTAAGATTATCCTAATTGCAGACTAAACTGTTGTACTAGCATCATCTAAGTCTTCATCATCTATACTAAGAAAGTGGTTAGAAGGAGATGGGGTTCATGCTGGAGCGAGGACGCTTATTCAAAATATAAATAAATGAGCAAATAAATAACTAAATTAAAATAAACTAAACCTACCTAACCTAAACTATTCAATGTAATTTAACATTCAACATGAAGGAGTTTAAACTCCTCATTTGCAAAAGTTTGCAGTTGACGCCCCTGGTGCATTTCAGCCTATGTCCATTCATCTTAAAATTTCCTTTTGCTGGATGAGTTAATTCAATTGTACCATAAGGAAATACCTCATGCACAGTAAACGGTCCAGACCAACGAGATTTGAATTTACCTAGGAATAATTTGAGGCGAGAGTTGTACAACAATACTAAATCACCTTTTTGAAATAGTTTACCTCCCTTGAATTTTTTATCATGGTAGACCTTCAATTCTACATCTGGTGGTTCATTGATGGATGGGTTGGGTTGCTTCTCTAATTTCCAGTCCAAAACTTTGAAGTCTCTCTTTCTCCATAATGGCTTAGTGGCTTCTAAATGACACCACTGTTCTTGAGTTACCAAGCTCATATCATCTTTTCCTCTATCATGAACTAAGCTTCTTTTCAATGGGTTTGAAATCAAGAATTCCTGTGCACAATCAGAAACATAATCATCAATTACATTAATAAAGTAGCAAGAATCATCTTGTTTCAAAGACTTTTTTATTACATCAGGAATTTTGAAAATGACTTTTTCATCTCCAACCCTCAAAATTAACTTTCCATCCCTCACATCAATTATAGCTCCTGCAGTAGCTAAAAATGGACGACCTAAGATCAAGGGGACATCAATGTCCTCGTCCATATCAAGAATCACAAAATCAACAGGAAAAATAAATTTGTCCACTTTTACAAGCACGTCCTCAATGATACCCCTAGGATATTTAATTAACCTATCAGCTAGTTGAATACTCATTCTAGTTGGCCTAGGTTCTCCCAAACCTAATTTCTTAAAAACAGAATATGGCATCAATTAATGCTAGCACCTAAATCACCTAAAGCCCTATCAACTATCAATCTGCCAATGAGACAAGGAAGAGTAAAACTCCCTGGATCCTTTAATTTTTTGGGCATCTTATTTTGCAGAATTGCTGAGCATTCTTCATTCAGAGTTACTGTGGCCAACTCCTCTAATTTCTTCCTATTGGACAGTAGATCCTTCAGAAATTTGGCATACTTGGGCATCTGTGCCAAGGCATCAACAAATGGTAAATTAATATGAAGTTGACAAAATACGGATAGAAATTTACCAAATTATTCATCATCCTTGTCTTTCTTCAATTTTGCTGGGTAAGGAAGTGGGAGCATGTTCACTACAGGGAGATTTTCCACAGTCTCCTCTTGACATTTATCCTCCTCTTCAACTGCATATTTTTCTGTTTCTTGCTTCCTTTTCTCTTGTAATGTTCTGTCACTCCTTAATGTTACTGCATTAACTTGCTCCCTAGGATTAGTCTCAGTATTGCCAGGCAAGCTTCCTTGGGGTCTTTCTGAGAGGAGTCTAGAAATTTGACCCAACTGAATTTCTAGATTATGGATAGAGGCTTATTGATTTCTTAGTGCTGTCTTAGTAGATTGAAACCGAGATTCTAAAGTTTGAATGAATTTGGTCATCAACTCCTCAAGGTTTGACTTCTTTTCAGCTAGGGGTGGTAGTTGATGTGGGGCTTGTTGATATCCTGAGGGTGTGTTGTTCCGCGTTGGCTGTTGGTTGTTATTCCATGGTGGGTTTGCATAGTTCCTCCAGGCTGGATTATTCATGCCATTATAATTTTGGTATGGTGGTATGTTTCCTATCAAATTGGCATGTTCTTCCTGAGTAGCTCGACACTCATGATTAGGGTGGCCTCCTCCACAAATATCACATCTCATCACCGAAGCAACCGGATGGTTAACAAATAAACCATCAATCTTCTTCCATAAGGCTTCAACTTGCATTGCCAAGGATGTTACTGCATCAAGACTATAAATTCCAGCAAATTTCGCAGGTTTGGATCGAGTGGAGCTCCATTGATAGCTGTTCATTGCCATTTCTTCAAACAGTTCTTGTGCAACCCTTGGTGTCTTGCTATTCAAAGTGTCCCTCTCTGCAGCATCTATCATTTGTCTTGTGGCTGGGTTCAACCCATTGTAGAAGGTTTGCACTTGAAGCGAGTCTGGAATCCCATGATGTGGGCACTTCCGTAGTAATTCCTTAAACCTCTCCCATGTATCATATAAAGTTTTTGACTCCAATTGGTAGAAGGAAGAGATATCATTCCTCATCTTAGCAGTTTTTGCGGGAGGAAAATATTTCGCCAAGAATTTTTCTGCCATAGCCTCCCATGAAGTGATAGATCCTCGTGGGAGAGAGTTCAACCACTGTTTTGCTCTGCTTTTGATAGAAAATGGGAATAGCCTCAAGCGGATTGCATCATTAGTAGCTCAATTAATCTTGAAAGTATCACAAATCTCCAAAAAATTTGCAATGTGAGCATTGGGGTCTTCATCTTGTAACCCATCAAATTGGACAAATTGCTGAACCATTTGAATAACATTGGGCTTTATTTCAAAATTTCCCTGCACATCCGGACAGATAATGCTAGATTTTGTTCCAGTTAATGATGGACGAGCATAATCGGACATGGTCCTTGGTTGATCTTCATTGTTCGCCATTCCTTCCATGTGGTTTTGTGTGTTTTCCTTCTGTGCTAGCAGTCGTCTCTCTTTCCAAATTTTTCGCAAAGTTCTCTCTATCTCTGGGTCAAATTCGAATAATATAGCAGGTTTTTGGTCATGCACCAGAAAAATCAACTCCTAAAAAAATAATAAAAGGAAAAAAATAAAAATAAAAATAATAATAATAAATAAAAATAGAAAAGTTAATTTAAGATTAAAGAAATAAAGAAAATTAGTAAAGACGTAATCAAAGAAATCCTAAATAACTAGTCCCCGGCAACGGCGCCAAAAACTTGGTGTGTAAAAATTGATTACTAGGCAAGTGTACACGCTCATGTACATCTCTGGTTTCTAAAAGACGCCCTTCAAAGCTTTCCATAAATGTACACGCTCATGTACACGGCCATGTACTTTAGCCGTGTACATCTCTGGTCTCTAATAATTGCACTTCACAGCTTTCTTGAAAAGTACACGCCCATGTACACGGCCATGTTCTTTGGCCGTGTACATCTCTGGTTTTGATGATACACTTCAATTGACGCGACCAGTGAGATACACGCTCATATACACGAGCGTGTACTTGCCCATGTATATCTCTGGTTCTTTGTGTGTTTCAATTCTCAATATCTTTTAAGCTCTTTTTTTTTTTCTGAAATATGAATAAAATGAAATTAATAATACTAAATTTTCTCAATGAATAGCTTAAAACTCTCAATTATCATTCATGAATTACAATGTAGGATCAAGTATAGAAAGCATTTATCAACTACGGCCTTTAACTTGTTCAGGGAAGGGCGTCCTAGCAATATATTGTATGAGGTACTCATGTGAACCACCAAGTATGTTATCTTGATGCACTTTGCTTCCCGTTTAGAATCGAAGAGGGTGTACAGGTCAATGCATCCATGGGTTTCTACTCTTCCTCCTGAAAACCCAACAAGCAGTTCATTATATTCTCTTAACTCCTCTTCATGTATTCCCGTCTTCTTAAAAGTATTCTAAGATAGGATGTCGGTCGAGCTCTCCTGGTCGATTAGAGTTTTTTGGACAGTACAGTTGTAGATATCAACACTTATGACCATAGGATCATCCTGTATCAGGTCTACCCCTTGGAAATCCTGATCTGTGAATGTTATAGGTGGGATCCAGACTCCACTTCCTAGAGATATGTTATTCATTGATCAGACGTGTTGTAAGTGCCTTTTTCAGACTGAATTGGTAGAACCTCCTCCTGTAAATCCTCCTGCTACGGTATTGATAATGCGACGAGACTGGTTGTTGCGCTTATTACGATGTTGTTGGGGGTTTCTTGATCAACTACGGTGTCGTTCTTCTCTTATGTCATGACGCCATCTCAATTGCTCGGTCTGTTGACCTTTCCCCCTTTCTGTGTGCTTCATTACGAAGTCTTGAAGATGTCCCACTTTAGTTAAATCCTCTATGTGGTTCTTAAGGGCTGTGCATTCTTCAGTAGTATGTCGTTGATTCTGATGATATTGACACGTCTTGGTTTTGTCTGCTTGAGGGGGTGTTCGTACGCTTAAGGATGGTCAGTATCTTCGTCATCAAGGCCTGCTCAAGTACTTTGGATTGATTAGTATTTAGCGTTGTGTAATTTGTATACCTTGACTGTGACACCCTTACTACTTACTAAGCAATAAATATAAATATAATCATATAATAACCAAGCAGTAAGAACATCACATGCATGGGTCTATATCTATTCAGATATAGTGAAATTAAATACACTACCATTACTAGAAGTATTCATTTCATATATACACATCATCTGTTAATTTATACAATCATCCAGTTATCTAAATATATACATAACTGAATTACATACAAACTAAAGTGGGGTCACGATATCAGAGACGACAACCCAAAACGAAGACCTCACGAGCTTTCCCCTGGATCCCTGATCACCAAAGTGCCCATTTCCTTTCAAAATTCAACAACGGTAAGGTTAGGCTTCCTATATACCCCTTTTACTTTTCAGTCAAAAGTACTTACACCTACGTATATATATAGATTATCCTTTACTCAACTCTAACCTACTCTCCTTTTTCACTAGATTCCTACTCAGAAGGGGCAAAATTAGGAAGGAGTCCTGCTTGAGAAGCAGTCCTCTTCCTTCCGATAGCAGAAGAGGTGTTTGAGCAGTGAGAAGAATCAGGAGAGTCTGAAGAACTAGAGAAAGACGAAGAGGAAGTGGATGAGATAGAGATAGGTCTTGCTAAAAGTGTGTCAACTAAATTAGTCCGTTGCACAGGTGGTAAATATGGTATAGAAGGACGTAAAGGTCTAAGAAAACCTGGGGGTAATACCGGGGGTGATAATACAAGAACAGGAGGTGGGGTAGGGGGTCTCACAAATTGTACATCTGGAGGAAATGGAAAAGTAAGTCTCATGGGTACTCGGATGGGGATAGGGTAAGCTCGTGGGCCTGGGCCATTTCTATCTAACAAAAAGGTAATAGAGCCAGTGTGGGTGAATCGTTGTTGCTCCCAGTCGTGCACCCATGTTCCCTCAGGATCATATCTGATCGAGACGCTGAATTGGTATAGTGGTCGAGCCATCAATGTTCTCACCTAATAAACATATTCACACACAACACACATAGCAATAAAAGGGTGAGACAATTTAATTCAATCTCCAGCAGCAAAAGACATATAAGGGTTTCAATCACACAATTAATTATCAACACCCATAATCTACCAAGCAAATGCATATGCCATGAATGAGAAGTGATGCAAGTCCATTATTATAACTTAGTACATTTTGACACATGCATGTGGGCCCAAAACCATCAATATGTTTCTTTTACTCAGGGAAGGATCAGGAGTTTCACTGTTACTTATCTGCCAACTTTGTTCATCTCATAATACAGTAACAGCTCTACTAATACAAGAATCTCTCTGGACCAGTCAGGATAGTAAAGTTTTGCAGTGAGAGTCTACAGCACAAGATGGCGAGCCTTGGCCACTGTCAAATTCAATCACACGTCACTATCCCCAAGACTACCCTGGAGCCGCCCCTAGATTTCTTATACTTCCCTGTCCACTCATCACACTATCACATGTTCATGATGCATGTCTTCACTCCTAATTAATGTAATTAGAGAAAAACTTTAATTTTTCTTTTCTGTTAAGTACAATCCTTAACTTTTTCTTTTTTCAATAAAATTTGACAGAGTCTCCTCTGTAAATCAGATATTCCAAAATTTTCTTCTTCCTGTAAAACAACCAGAAAAATCCAGAATACTTCTAATTCATTAAATTCCACCTCCATCATCTCAAAATCCATGGAAATCGTATCTTCCCCTCTTTCTTTAAATATGTTTTTATGCTTAAAAATTTAAAACTTAATCATTTTAAAAATGATTCAAGCCTTCCAAATATCCAATACTACTTTCTCAGTAATATAATTTATTTATTTATTTTTATTAAATCTATTTTCAAAAGAAGTCAAAAGATACTTGTACTATATATAAAATACATAATTATATATATATATATATATATATATATATATACCTTAAAAACATATTTTCTTCTTTCCAACAAGTCTTAATGGACATTTAGATTATATCAATCTATATGCTCACACCACATGAAACTATATTACTTCCAATCTTTACTATTATATGGCATTCCTACCAACAAGAATATCTACACAAGCACATAATGAGAATTCAACCAATTATAAAGAAATATTTCAATACAGCACTTCAACCATAAATCATTCCAATACATTAATTTAAATACACAAAAGACCTTACATATAAGGGAGAGTCCTTGTTCAATCAATTTCCTGGTCTAAGGCAACCTTTCACACATGTCAAGTGCTATAACAAAATCTTCTAAAAATTATGGGATAGCTCTAAAACAACCCAAATTCATTTTATTTGATTAGAACAATAGAGAATCATTCCCTTATGGTTCTTAATGCCACCTATTGAAATAAAATTATCCCACCCCTTACCTTACGGGTATTCTTTGATGAAGATATGGATGAATTTTTTTCTGATTCTTTAGAAAACTCGAACAATCCAATCTTCAAAATGATCAACCTAATCAATTAATCATGCCTAAACATAATTAATACTAAGGAGATGCTAATTTTATACTCTTATATGTATATGTAAAAATTGAAATTTTCTAACTTTTGCTATAAAAGTCCGATTAACACAAAATTAGTTTCTATGATCTAACTAATATAAAAGAATAAAATGGAATTTAAAAACACTCACTTCACCTTCTCTAAAACTACATGGCAGCCAACCCTTGTGAGGGTTTAGTGCTTTTTAATCACATTTTTGAAAAACTAATTATGTAAACAATATAAGCCATGCATAGTCTACATATAGTACAAAAGAAAGTAAGTTTAAAAACCAATAATTTTGAAGTAAAGTAAGACCCATTTTTACTGTTCATGACAGCCAAAAATAGAAAAAATTTAAAATTTTAATCGGATGAAATGATAATTAACAACTAATTAAGCTTAATTAAGGATATATATTAAAAACATACCTTAAAACAAGCTTAAATGAGTGGAAGAAAATGAAAATGGTGAAAGGAAGAAGAAGGGGTTATGGACTTGGAGAAGAAGAAGATTTACGTAAGAAAATGGTCAATTTAGTCAAATAGATAAAGAAA